AACAGAACTTAAATGTTTTTTGTGATGGGGAATAGGTTTATAAAATTTGCAGATGACACCAAACTGGGAAGGGTTGCAAGCACTTTGGAGGGCAGGATTAGAATTAAAAATGACCGTGACAAATTGGAGAATTGAGTTGAAATCAACAAGATGAAATTCAATAAAGACAAGTGCAAAGTACTACACTTAGGAAGGAAAAATCAAAAGCGCAAATACAAAATGGGGAATAACTGACTCGGCAGTTAGTTTGCAGACAAGGATCTGGGGGTTATATTGGATTATAAATTGAATATGAACTGACAATGTGATGCAGTTGCAAAAAGGCAAATATCATTCTGGGATACATTAACAAGAATGTCATATATAAGAGACAGGAGGTAATTGTTCCACTCTCCTTAGCCTGGTGAGGGCTTAGCTTTAGCACTGTGTCCAGTTCTGTGCACGATGCTTTAAGAAAGATGTGGACAAATTGGAGAAAGTCCAGAGGAAAACAACATAAATGATAAAAGGTTTAGAAAACCTGACCCATGAGGAAAGATTTTTTAAAATGGGCATGTTTAGTCTTGAGAAAAGAAGACCCGGGGGGGGGGGGGGGAGTACACGGGGGGGAAGGAGGGATCTGATAGCTGTCTTCAAATATGTTAAGGGCTGTTATAAAAAGGACAGTGATCAGTCCACTGGAGGTAGGACAAGAATTAACGGGCTTCATCTGCAGCAAGAGAGATTTAGGTCAGATATTAGGAAAAGCTTTCTAACTATAAGGGTAGTTAAGCACTGTAATAGGCTTCCAAGAAGGTTGTGGAAGACCTGTCACTGGAGGTTTTTAAGAACAAGTTAGACAAACACTTGTCAGGCCTGGTCTAGGTCAGTGGTTTTCAAACTGTGGGTTGTGACCCAGTACTGGGTCTCAGAATGGAAGGCATTGGATTGCAGTGGCTCTGGTCAGCACCGCCGACCGGGCCTTTAAAAGTGGTGGCTAAGGCAGGCTAGTCCCCACCTGTTTTGACACCGCGCTTGCCCCAGAAGTGGCCAGCAGCAGGTCCGGCTCCTAGGCGGGGGGACCACGGGGCTCCGCACACTGCCCCCACTCCGAGCACCGGCTCCGCACTCCCATTGCCTGATTCCTGGCCAATGGGAGCTAGGAGGGGCGGTGCCTGCGGGCGAGAGCCACGCAGAGCTGCTTGCATACCTCCGCCTAGGAGCCAGACCCGCTGCGTACCTCCGCCAAGGAGCTGGCCACTTCCGAGGCACAGCACGGTCCGCAGTGTCAGGACAAGCAGGAAGCCTGCCTTAGCACCCCTGCTGCGCCACTGACCAGGAGCCGACCATGCCCCAATACTCTGCCCCAGCCCTGAGCCCCCCCAAACTCAGATCCCCCTCCTGCACCCCAAACTCCTCATCCCTGGCCCCACCCCAGAGCCTGCACCCCCAGCCCAGAGCCCTGACCCCCTCCCGTACCCCAACCCCCTGCCCCAGCCCTGAGCCCCCTCTCACACTCTGAACCCCTCATTTCTGGCCCCACCCTGCAGCCCTCAACCCTGCACCCTAACCCTCTGCCCCAGCCCTAAGCCCCTCATTACCAGTTCTGTTGGGTCGCCAATCAACAATTTTCTTCAACTGGGTCGCCAGAAAAAAAGTTTGAAAACCACTGGTCTAGGTTATTCTGCCTCAGACTCAGTGCTGGGGACTGGACTAGATGATGGCTCAAGGTCCCTTTATTTCTATCATTTTATCATCTAGTATTTAAGAAATAGGCAAAGTACGACATTCTGAACTGAAACAGTAGTGACCTAAGTGACCTATAGTTCAGCAGGTGACAGTACACTGCACTGAGAGAAGAATATAACCCTTCATATGTAATAATTTTTTTATTCATAATCTCCTTTGAGTACTTCAATAACGTTGCAAAATTAATTACTACTGCATCACTCTCAGATTAAATGTGCTTTTGAGGATCTGACAGCATTCTTCATTCCAAACATTTTGTCTAACCAATATTATTCTCCTCTCCTGCAAAACATGTGGGTCCTCCTATCCTCATGTCCTTTCCAGTACTAGGTCACGGAATGGAAGGCATTGGGTCACAGTGGCTCTGGTCAGCACTGCCGACCGGGCCAGTCTCCAAAAAGGGGCATGGTTTGGCCAGTCTCCAAAAAGGGGCATGGTTTGGCCAAATATAGGTGTATTAATAAATTATTCCTATTCTACTGTCTGGAAAAAAGGACGATCTGGAGGCAATTTGTTCAGTAATTTATTCCAGATCCTTCCTGGAATAATTTATGCTCTTGAATTTCCTTAGATGTATGTCTAATTGGGAGCTGTCTTGCTACATAAATTTTTATAAATCTTTCAGCTATATTGGAGGCCAAATGCAGAATTAGGGCCATTATGTGGATTCAGGACTGTTCCTGAAGGGGATTTAGCACCTGAAATTAATTAATAATCAATGGCAGATTAAAGCAGTCTTTAATGGAATACCAGTATGGATCCCAGACTCGGAAAAGCCATCATCCCCCAAATTATGTAACTGCACCACCAATCTCGCCCCTGCCTTGGAGCCATGCAAACAAGTTTGATGCCCCATATTTTTGTTTTTCATATTTATATTTTTTATTAATTTTTCCAAATACAACAAATATAGCAACATACCAGATTCAAAGTAAACAAAGAGGGTTAGGTTACTATCTTCAGGGTCCATGTTAATGATAGACCTCTAAAAAGTCAGTCCAAATTGCTTTCTTTTTCTGTGGCAAGCCGGTAGTTGGTTACCTGCAAAGTCAGCCAAATCACTGAGCCAGGCGTCAGTATTTGGTGGGGACTGACTTTTCCATTTTGCAGGATTAATTTTTTAGCAACCAAATCTGTACATTGGAACCACGCTGCCTTGTTACCTGGTAATCTCCAGATATCAGGAGTATATCCAAGAATGAAATTTAAGGGGGAAGGCTCCAACCTAGCATCCAATATCAAATTGGTCCTGTGACTCACCTCATCCCAGAAATTCTTGCAACAGGGGCACTTCCAAAAGATATGAGCTAATGTAGCACTAACAGAGTTACATTTCCCACAGTGGTCAGCATTTATCAGGCCCATTAACAGTAGCCCATGTGGGGACTAGTATATTCAAAAAAGTGTCTTTTGGTGAATAAGCTGTATCCTCAGATCTATAGTTGCTTTTTTAACTTTAGATACAATTCTATTCCATTGTGTTGGAGTTAGTTAAGTATCCAAATCTCTATTCCAAACAACTCTCAAATTCTTGTTCAACCTGAACGCAAGGTGGGGTCTGTGTAGTCATATCTAACAGCCACGAAGATGCCTGACTTAACGAAAATGAGATGATCATTTTCCAAGTTGCGAAAATGAAATCCTCTCAGAGGTAGGGGGAGCTGTAATTTGTTCAGAGCCAATCTAGGTTTCTTACTTGTGCCCCAAAGGAATCTTCTGAAAATATTATTGAATTTCTTAAAATAAGTTTGAGGACTATAAGTAGGGAGACCCCACATGATATACAAAATGCTGGGAAAGCCAGTCATTTTCAGCATATAAATTTTACCCCACAAACTGAGGGTTAACGAACTCCATCTCCAAATCATTAGCCACTTGCATAATAATTGGTTCTGTATTTATTTTAGGGATGTCCTGAATATTTTTGGGAATCACTATTCCTCAATATTTCATATAAGAAGATTGCCATTGAGAAAAGGTCTTTGTGGGCATATTTATTAATGCCTAAGATTTTTGATTTACCCCAATTAATTTTATATCCTTAGGAATGGTAACTTCAGGCTTAGATACAAGTACTAAAGCATCATCCACAGAAAGCATAATTTTGTGCACTGTTGTACCTGCCCTGATTCCACGAATATGTTGATTTGCTTGAATGGCAATGGCAAAAGATTCTAGAGCTAAAACAGAAGAGGAGAAAGGGGGCAGCTCTGCCTTATACCTCTCTGAATGGAAATGGGGCAGAAATAATACCATGGATAACTACCCTGGAAGTGTACAAAAGCTTAATCCAAGCAACAAATAGGTTACCACATTCAAATTTTGCTAACAATTGAAAAAGATAGTCCCAGGCTATGCAATCAAAGGCCTTTTGCCATCTAAAGAAATGACAGCTAAGGGTTTTTCGAATCTCTCGAAGTGGCAATACAATCAATCAGTTGACGTAAAGTATCTAAGCCATGTCTGTTATTAAGGAAGGCTACCGGATTTATGTGTATAATACATGAGAAAACTTGTCCAATCACATAGCAAGAGCTTTAGCGAAAATCTTAGCATCACAACTGATTGCAGAAATTGGCCTGTAATTACTACATAGTCTAAGGTTTTAGGAATAACTGAAATTACAGCTTGTTTTAGAGTAGGCAGGAGAATTTGCTCATTCCTGGCTCATTGACCATATTCAATAATCTAGGTGTTAAAGTTCCAGAGAACTTTCTGTAATATTCAGTTGAGAACCCATCTGCACTAGGAGTCTTTCTGACCTTCATTTCTTTTATACCCTGAGTCAGTTCCACAATTTCTAGAGGGACATCTAAAAGTTCCTTCTGAGTCAGAGATCTGTGGCGGAGACAATCCACTAAAAAAGTTATCTAGGGCATCTTTACTGACGTCCTCTTCAGCTAAATATAGTTTTGAGTAAAACTGTTACAATTTTTTTTTTTTTTTATATCTGACTGAGTGTAGGGCTAGGGGAGAAGGAGTGCAGGAGGGGCTGGGGAGAAGGGGCACAGGAGGGGAGTGCAGGGGCTAGGGGTGCAGAAGGGTGTGCAGAGGTTATGGGCAAAGGGGGGGTGTAAGGTTAGCAAAGAAGGTGTGCAGGAAGGGGGCACACAAAGAGTTTGGGGAGAAAGGGAACAGGAGGGGGTTGAGGAGAAGGGGGCACAGTACAGGGGTTAGGGGCAAAGTGGGCACAGGGATTAGGGGTGCAGGAAGGAAGTGCAGGGTTAGGTGAGAAGGGGCACAGGAAGGGTTAGGGGAGAAGGGGTTATTCATCATTATTGTTATTATTGTGTATTTTACAAATGATTTCAGATTTATGTCTCAGATTAGGTGCCTGAAATCACACTCAATTTTATCAATGACTACCATCTCTCAGCTTCTCTGCACTAGCACAAGATGGGCCCAACATCTCCTCCGTCTGCCTGGGTTCTCTCCTTCCCTTACTTTATTCTCAGGAGCATGCAGAAACCTATCAGCAGAAGACAAAGCTATGATCCTGAAACCTTTACTCTGTAAGTAGTCCTTACTCATACACTTAATGTCACTGAGCTCATGAAGGTTGCAGGCTCTGTCCCCCAGCTCCTGCTGCAGTTCAGCAGTTCAGAGTTTTGGAGCAGCCTATATTTGTGTTGATTTGTCTGCAGACGTTTAGATATTTTGCCGCCATGAAGAATAAAGAATGATTCTATGTGCTACCATACAGTTGTTGCATCCTGAAGTAAAATAACATCTGGCAGACTCCTGTTGGCTATATATAGCACGTGCTGTGAGAGAGAAAGCATATTTCCTTGCCCATTCTGTGACACACATTGCAGATGTGTAATGTTGTTAAAGCTAGAATGTATGGGTTTGCACAGGAGGAATTTCCCTACAAATGAATTCCTAATAAAGATAATTTCTTCAGAATAAGCACTGAAATCAATTTTTGCAATATTGATAAGCCTATTCAAATTATTATTTTTGTAAAGACTGTTTAATAGCAGACAATGTATGCCCAAGTCCAAAATTTATACTCCTTTTTGCACTTGCTTATATATTTTTATTTTTGCTTTTATTTTTTAGGTAACATAGAAGTTGCTAAGTGGTTGCTAAGTTATACAGTTATAAGAACAGAAGCCTGGAGAAGTAAACACTATGTGTTCTATATTCTGTTTGACAGGTTATTGTGAATATGTTTTTTAAGCCTTAATCTTTTGAGACTCCAATTCCACATCTATATATAGTGGAAATTCCAGTAGTACATGATGCAGTGTCTAGCCTATTTTACTGGAATGTGTGAAAGCATCTACTTCTGTTTTAGATTATTTACCACCTACTTTTACATAAAAATTACAAATACAAAAACAAAATGGGTAGAATAAGTCTTTCTCTATCCTTTCTCCTGGCATTATATTAAACCAGCTGGACAGAGCAGAGAAAAGAGACAAGCTCTGGTAGGAAGTGGCTTCTTTTATGATGTACAGAAAGATTGGTTATTCTGTGTAGCATTTAGAAGTTGAAATTTTTCCCCCAAATCAAATTTGTGACAATGTGATAAATTTCTTGTAACTTTGCTGTTCTCTGGTTTTTTGCCATCAGAGCTGGGTGGCCGGAGAGCAGCGACTGCTGGCTGGGCGCCCAGCTCTGAAGGTAGTGCCACCAGCAGCAGCGGCAAGAAGTAAGAGTGGCAATACACCATATACCATGGCACCCTTACAAATATATATAATTAATAATCAAATGACAAGCTCAATGTAAAATCTTTCCCAGGAGTTAAGACAATAGGAAGAAAATTGATAATCACCCTTCAACTCTTCACACCCAGTGAGAGACAGAAAAAAAGAAAAGCAAATAATATATCAATATCAACTGGCACCCATCAATTTATTTAGAGCAGCCATATCAGATCTCAGAGAGTAATACATAAATTCCTTTCAGTTGGATCATTCCATAGATGTCTCCTATAGCAAGGAAGGAGTTTGTAGATTTTTTTCGGTATTTTTCTGCCTCCTGAGGGGAACTGAATGATACAGTCTTCTCCCCATAAGGAGTGTTGCCAGGTATTTAATAAAATACTTCAGGTCCATCTTCCTGGTCAATTGTTTTGTTTGGTTAAAAGCCAACTCTTGTAACTCTGAAATGTTCGTAACGCTGAACAAAACGTTATGGTTGTTCTTTCAAAAGTTTACAACTGAACACTGACTTAATACAGCTTTGAAACTTTACTATGCAGAAGTAAAATGCTGCTTTCTTTTTATTTTTGTAGTAATTTACATTTAACACAGTACTGTGCTTTGTGCTATATTTGCTTTTTTTTTTTTTTATGTCTCTGCAGCTGCATGATTGCGTACTTCTGGTTCCATATGAGGTGTGTGGCTGACCGGTCAATTTGTAACGCTGGTGTTCGTAACTCTGAGGTTCGATTGTACTGTATTGGAGATGGCAGAACATCTATGAAGATATAAGTTGCCCTCATGTCCAAAGAATTCAGGTCTGTAAGCCAAGCATTTCAGGCTGTTTTAAGTACACTTGATATTTCCTTCCATTAAAGAATTGCCATTGCATATTTCAATATTGCATTACTGTTGCCATTGCATATTGATCTCATACCATGATGTCCAAAAGAATGTAGAGCTAATACTAATAAGATGGCTAAATGTAGTGGCAGTAACACTAACAAATTTTTGAATTTCATATGTGAGTGGTTCCAGTCTGCATTGCTGGAGTTCTGTTGACTTAGATCAATGGTTCCCAAACTTGTTCCACCGCTTGTTCAGGGAAAGCCCCTGGTGGGCCGAGCCGGTTTGTTTATCTGCCGTATCTGCAGGTTCGGCCAATCGCGGTTCCCAGTGGCCGCGGTTCGCTGCTCCAGGCCAATGGGAGCTGCTGGAAGCGGCAGCCAGTACGTCCCTTGGCCCGCGCCGCTTCCCCTTCCCCCCACCGGGCTGCGAGCTCAGGCTGCCATCGGGCATAGGGGCACCAGTTTAATAATACTGTGTAGGGTCCCATAAATCCTAAGGACGGCCCTGCCAGTAGCAGCAGCTGTAGCAGCTTGCTGACTTCTCAGTGCTCATACCCACCACTGTGCCTGCTCCTGCATTACCTTGCTCCTGCAGCTCTTGTCTTGCACCCAGCCTTGCCTTTGTCCTGTCCCTACCTTGAGCCCCTCCTTACCTGTTACCCTGCTAGCTTCAGTTCCTGACTTTTCATTTGAACCTTGGCTCTAGCTCCTGATTACTGACTCTGGCTTGACCTTTGGCTCTGATATCCAGTTCCCTTCAGTGTGACCTTTGGCTACTGATGCCCCCTCTGACCACTATCCATGATGCCTGCTCTGACCACTAGGCTAGACTGCCCTTGCCCCAGTCGGCTGACACCAGGGTATCATGTAGGTTTCCCAGCTCCTGTCTCAGCACTGGAAACACCCAAAAGCAGTTAATTTATCTCACCCTAGTCCCAGCGTTGGGCTGAGGGGGACTATTTTCAATGGCCTTTGTGCAGTATTAGCTAAATTAGGTTCTGCTTCCTGAGGATTCTAGGTTTTACCCAGTTGGCACTTCCCAGGGAGATTGGTACTGCTCCAACATTGCATCTTGTTAAACTATCTACTGGAAGTTATTAATTCCTTACCACACTGGTTTTAAATGTGTCTTCATCTATTCTAGAGCTTTCTTACCATTGTCTATATACTGTTGTTGGTACTCAGCTGGAGTCTTGTGCTCTTTTGTTCCCTGTGAGGGGGGCCACTCACCAGAACAGTGCCTCCTGCTGGCTGTCTCAGGGATTAGCTTTCTCAACCAGTGCACCCTCTCCTGGTGGTGCCGCCTTCTGTGCCGGCAGCCCTATCTCAGCCCAGGAACAGCAGCAGCTTTTTCATGCCTTGGCCCTCTTGCTGTGTCACCATCCGTGTTTTCCCCCTCCTGGGGGGGGGGAAGGATCTCCCAGTTCTATAGTCCACTTCCCCAGTGGCAAATGGGGGCGGGAAGACCTGGGCCCCCTGCCTCTCCTTAACTTCTCCGCCAATATTGCTTCAATTCCCTGGGCCACTTTCCCATGGTTCCAGCACCTTCTTCACCCTCTTCTCAAGGCCTCAAGCCTGCAAGTCCCAGCAGCCAGCTAGGTACTCCTTCTTGCTCCCCTGATCCTGGCCAGCAACTGCTCTGTCCAACGTTCAGTCTGCCCAGGACAGCTCATCCAAGGCCTTAATTTCCTTTAAGGCCTTAATTTCCAAGGGTTCTAATCCTATGTTCTCTCATTTTCTTTTTAAAGGTGGCAGGGGTTAAGGGAATTTGGACCATGCCCCCAGGGAGCAAAGTCCCGAAGGAGAGCTGGAGGCATAGGCACCGAGCATCCATGGAAAAAAATTAGCAGATGCTTTGCACCCACTGGCACCCTGCCCTTCCCCTCTCCCCGGTGCCTCCTGCCTGCTGGCGTCCCTGCCAATCAACTCCTCCCCCTCCCTCCCAGTGCCTACCGCCCACAGTAATCAGCTGTTTTGTGGCATGCAGGAGATGCTGGGAGGAAGGGGGAGGAACAGGAATGGGGCACGCTAAGGAGAGGGGGTGGAACTGTACAGGAAGAGGCAGGGAAGAGGCGGGTTGGGGTGAGGACTTGGGAGAAGGGGTCAGGTGGGGGCGGGACCTGGGGCAGAGCAGGAGGTTGAGCACCCCCAGGGCCCAGAGAAAGCCAGCTCCTATGCCTGGAGGGGCAGCCAAATGACCAGTTTAGATGTAGGGGGGGGGACCCCAGCCCTGCCCTGTGTAACCAGGACAGCCATGAAACCCTTTGCCAGCCCCCTATCAGCTGAGAGACACCAATGGAGCTGGTCAGTGATAACAAAATAAACTCAGTTGACAAAACTATCTGGCCGGAGAGGGAGTTCCCAGCATTGCTGCTGCTTTCTGTTCATCAGCTGGGCGTGTCCTCTCACCTGGGCAGGGTGACTGCAGAAGGTAGTAACAGGGGCAGGTTCAGCAGAGTCCCAGGGAATCACCCAGCTAGACAACCCAGCTTCACACTCTTTGGAGGGGGATTTTGTTAACATTTCAATTAATATTTCAGTGGCCAAAGGCTCAAAGATCTGTTGACAAATAGTTTTTCCTGCATCCCCGTCACCCAGGGAGTGGCGTCTGCTCTGGTCACTAATGCTTTTTACTAAGCAGCAGATCATAACTTTTTCCTATAGTGGCAGTTGTATCATCCCCTCTTCCAGCCTTCCCTCTGCATTAGATCTGGCTTTTCACCCCCTCCCCGCCACCAAGAAATTGAAGCTGAGCCCCAGTTCCTTGCTAAGCATTTTTTCTGCCACCAGGAGCTTAAGTCAAACCCTTCCTTTCATTCACAGCCTCTTTGCCCAAGCCCTGGGATGCGCTTCCTTCCAAGGACATGCCCAAGTGAAACATAATGACAATGACTTGGTGTGCAACAGAATGTAATAAGAGGAGTATGGAATGGATTTTATTAACACTATTGAGCTGCTTGTGAATGATTTTGTCACTGTATAAAGTGGTGACTTCTTTCTCTGAATATCTCTGTAATTGGCAGTGAAAGTGGCTAGATTTATCGCAGGTCGCTTTGACACTTATTTCCTCACTAGGGAAACCAAAAAGTCACTAAATCTAGTGACAAAATCATTAAGTTGGCAACACTGCGACTGCTTTTGCCCTGCATCTCCCTTTTATGTGAGCCCGCTGGGCCCTGATTGGCTGCTCCATGCAGCCTCCCTCCAACTGGCTGCTTCCTGTGCAGCCACCCTTGGCTGCTTTTAACCCCTTCCTTTCCGGTGTGGGGTGAACACCCCATCACACTCCCATATACCATTAGGAAGTTCATCTCCTTCAATCTTCACATGAACTCTAATAAAGCCAACCATATATGCAGTTGCATGATTTAGTATTATTTAAACTACTTCTGCCTCTGGAATATCCAGTTTCTTGTGTTATATAAAATTTGGATACATAACAGGAAATCTGATGGGGGCTCAAATCTCCCTTGCTCATGTTTTCAGAATTGCTCTTCAGCATAAACGTTTCCAAAAAGAGCCATCAAAAATTCACATTGGAAATCAGCACAACCCTTAGCTGATCCAATTCAGCCAGCTGGATCACATCTAAGAAACTTTTCCCACCATTTCTTCATGTTTTCACTTGCTGCATTACCTTATTAGTTTTTTAAATTAAAGGTATTTGTACTGCAAGGATCCTCCAAAAAACATCTGAAAATTAAGATCATGGCTTCATCTATTTCATAAGGTCCTGTAACCTTCCTGAGTGGACCATTAAGTAGAAATAATTGTGTTTATATCCCTGATCTCAATACTATCCATTCCTCACAGATTACCATTAACAATCATTGAGGTATGACACACTAAATACTTTCTGGATGAAATGTAGTACTGGAAATTGATGTACAGTCATAAAGTACCCTGCAATGGGATTAGTTAAGTATTTTTCAAACATAAATCTCTGGACTCTTTCAAAGCATTGATTTAACTGAATATCAAAAAGGAGGGTGCTCTGCAACTAGTAACAGCTTAAAATATTTTATTTTTTGGAAGTTAATTTATTTGTGACCTAGAGGTTGGAAAGAAAGAAAACCCAATAACACTGAAAATCTAAATAAGTTTCTTTATTTTCAGCCTTGCAAATTCATCATGGAAATTTACTAGGCCAGATGCACAATCTGCTCACCCACCCTCGCTATAAAGTTGACGATGGAAAATACTAATGAGCCCAATTCTCCATCAGGATAAAAGAAACTCCCTTTAGCTGCATTGGGAATTACTGTTGCCCTGCAGTGGAAGAATATAGCCCAAGAATTTTCCCTACTCATCCCCCCTTCCAAATACCTATCTCCCGCCCTCACCAAAATGGGCATGTGGATGAATGGGCCGTTTTTCAAGGTTGTTTTATTTAGCCAATTTGTTAATCAAAAGTAATTAACCAATGTAATTAAATAATGTTTTGTATTCGAGAATGAAGTCATCTGAACAACCAAATGTGAAAAGTTCCACCCAATGTCATTTAAAGCAAATTAGTTAATAATCGGGTTTATAATCGGGAACTGAACTACTTTACATGGCACCATAGCAAGACTATTGGAGTCTAGCTGGTGAGAGAGGGTAGGAAGGACATAGGAGAGGATTGCTTGTCACATAAAATAGGAGACAGGTGCTGGAGGAAAAAGCAAAGTCAAGGGACATAGTATCACGCTGTAAAAAAGAAAAAAAAATCACAGGCATAATCTTTGTGTAACCCTTCTGCCTGTCAGAGTTGGCAGCAACAAGGGCCAGGTTCAATACCTAGGGGATCCATTCCAATAACACAATGCAAACCGGCTCGAGCCCCCACCCAGTGACCTGGGACAAATATATACCACCCCGCTGGGCGCCTCCAAGAGGCAATACTTCCCCTCTCGCAAGCACATAGTCTGAGTGTAGCAAAAAGCCTTTTAATAACAGAGAGAAACAATGTGGCATTATGTTGGGGAAACACCACCAACAGGATTCATAACACAACTCATGAGCAAAAAAACCCACCCCAAGCAAATTGGGGCATGCCCCTTTCCCTTTGGTTCTTGAGTCCAGCAACCCCAAATCACCCAAAGTCCCAAAAGTCCAATGACCCAAAAGTCTCTGTCCCTGGTCAGGGCAGCCCCAGAGTTCGAAAGTTTATCTGCGGAGCTTTACCTCCCAACCTGGGTGGAGATGGGACGGGGGTAAGAGGCACCTTACATGATCTGAAGCTGACTGCCCCACAGCTCCATAGGCCTTCGCTTCGCTCCGCCAGCCGCCCCACGAACTCCTTCGCTCAGCTTCGCAGCCCACAAGCAGCTCCCACCGTCCCACAAACTGCTCCGCATCCCACCAGCAGCTCCCACCATCCTACGAACTGCTCCACCAGCCTGTCCACAAGGCACTCCAGCCATCCCGCAAACTGCTCCACAATATATCTTCAGGCTCCCCCACTACTTAACACAATGCTCAGTGATTTCAGCTCTTAGTCAGTTCAGCTCTTTGGTGAATTCAGCTTGCAGTAGAGGAGCCTCAGTGCTGGTGCACCATTAGCCCAAAGTGAGCTCAGCAGCCTGTAACTAGACTCCTAATAGAATCAAAATTAGCTCTAATATTCCACAGTGGAGAGAAGAGGAAATGCAATTAACATGTAAGGCCCTCACCAAGAGGCCCATGCCACCAAGTATTAACACTTGTCCCCAGCCTCTCTCAATTCACAGAGTTTTAAAACCCATGACCCTTGCCTAGCGAGTGCTACTTAGTTGATGGTGAGTCCCTCCATCATAACAAAAGGCCAAGTACAGTTCCAAGCACAGTTCCCATAATCAGGGTAATAACAATTTATTCTTCCTGCCCCAATAACAGAGACACTGGGGATCCCACAGCAGCCAAAGTGACCATTTGGGCAGCTATGGCCTCATTCTAGGCGGGGTGGGTGTGCCTATGCAAATGAGATCGGCCCCTGAAGTTCTTTTCCACAACTTGCCACACCTCACCACCAGATGTCAGGGTGGAGCTCATCCTGACGCTGCTTACATCTGTAAAATATATCCATTGCCCAGGAACAACTAAAGCTCATGAGGCAAAAGAGACAAGCTAATGGTACAGAAACTAAGACTTAAAAAAAAAGAAATTAGTTTGTCAACAGTCAAAAACAGAGTATTTTTTTTATGCAAGGTGGTGGTGAATCGCAGCATATGGAACTAAACGTTTAAGTACAATGAGCCAATATACCCAATGTAATTCATGTCTTTCACACTTCAAAGATAGGTGCGTTACACACACCAATGTCTTTTGCTGATTTGTATATATTATGTGAAAACTATTACATACTCACATAGGCATGACCACAAATATCCATATTTATTGATTATTTGAAAACTAGTGCATAATGGGCCTGATCCAAAGCCTGTTGAGTCAATGGAAAGTCTAAATAAGTCTTGGAGACATTCCATTGACTCAATGGACTTTGGAATAGGCCCATAATATGAAAACTAGTATTATAAATGTTTATCTCATCAAGATGGGTGAAGGTCCACATATGACCTTTCCCTGTCTCCATCAGCTTCTTTCTAAGAGGTGAGGTCTTGTTGCTATGACAACTGGAGACAAAGCCAAGGCTCCACTCAGCAGGCTTTGTGGGCAACTTTTTGTCCTGGAATCACTGTTGTAAATAGGACAGGCTCTGCAGGGAAAGACTATTGATGCTCACAGACAACTGGAAAACCCTGTGGGAGATGTACAGCAACAACAATAAATGATGTGAAATATTGCTTTTGTACATTGACAGCTGTTTGGGATTTTACTGATAGCTTTCTTGGGTATCATTTCAAGTACTGAACTGAGCAGAGATTTTAAATCCAAGTGTAACCAAGCAATATGGTCAAGAAGTTTCTCCTAAATCTCTAAGCCAAAAATAATATATAACCACCCATTTATCAGAGCAACAATAGAGGTGTAGGATAACATTTACCAAAAACTAAGCCCATTCCCATCACTAGAGCTGTGCAGAGGATGCAAGTTCCATTTTGTAAAGGATTATGAGATTTTGAAATTTGGCTTTGTTCCAAATTGGAACAAAAACTGGAAATTTTGAAATTCTGCACAAAGGAAAATTAAAAAACAAATTGGTAGACAGGGAGTGGGAGGGGTCAGTTGAAACATTTGTTTTAACAAAATTGAAACACTTCATTTTGATTTTGACTCCTTTTAATTTTGTATTATTCAAAAGCCAAAGTCATTTCAAAACAAAAAACCACAACATATTGGTTGTGAGCTTTACTGGCCTGGACTGCAGTTATGACTACTCCTGAGGTGGCACTTGCACCTCCACAAGGACATATCACAATCTGGTCCTTAGGTTTTAAAAAAAATGTTAACGTATTATTCAGTCACATAAGATCCTGTGGAACCTGCAAGCTGTAAAGGGACCCTAGGGGAACCTGCACAACTTTAATTTGGCCCCTTTATGCGTATGCATTATAATGCAGTCTTTAACTACATGATCATATGCTATATGTTGAACAAGACCCTTCCTCATGGTAGCAAGAAGAGAAAGGATGTTCTTTTACGTTTGTGGCACTGGACTGGGATCCAAGAAAGTGGGATTTTATTTCTGGCTCTGCCATAATCTTCCTGTGTAGGGCAAGATTTTATCATAATGCATACTCATGAGGAGCGAACTTAAGGTTGTACAAGCAACCTTCATTCTGACCTTTGCAGGTTTGATTTTGCAGTCTTAACATTATCTCACATCATTTTGTATATGTTTTACAGTGGAAAAAAAGGGAGAAAAAAAACTTGAAGTTATATCAGCATAAAACTGGAGTAACCCAGTGGTGGCAAGTCAGACCCACTAACAGTATTGAGAGAGAGAATGGTTTAGTGCAATGGGTCTTAAACCGAGGTCAGTGGAGCATAGATGTCTGACAGTGCACGGAGCTACTTTTGTCACACTGGTGATGACACATCCCACAGCCTTTAAGAAATGACACTTCCTGTTCACTGTGGACTCTTGTTGGAGCTCCAAAAACTTTTTACCATGTACAGCTGTTTCCTGTCTTTCTTTGTTGTGGGTTCCACTATTATAAATACAGTAACAACTGTGATCAAATTTGTAAATGACACTAAAACCAAATGCACAGCAGAAACACAGGAGACAAAACTAAACTGCAAATAATTGGGGAAAATTAAAGCAGTGGGAGCTGAGGCAATGTTGAGAGCTTTGTTACTAAAATAATAAATTCTTGCACTCAGGGATAGGAAATAAATAGCCTAGATATGAAACAGGGAACTATACCAAGCAGCCCCACCCTTTGCATTGAAACAATTTTATTTTCATCTCATCTCCTTAATATTGTCCTAATATTGCTTTTCCAAGTAACCAAGCAATGCTTTTCTTCTAACAGGAATTGAGTCACTACTGTGACTCTCAATAGCTACTTGATATCAGTCAGTATCTGAAAGTGAGGGAGATAGCTTTTCTCTATTCCTTATGCCATAGTGACACCTTATGGCATTTTTGTTACAATGCTATGCTTTTTTATCTTTGTCTTATATGGTCTTTGACCTTGAACGGTTTCCAGTTGTTTCAACTCAAACATGTAAGCTATAGTACAACCTCAGTTATCCAAAAGCTTACAGAGCATCTAAGTCTTTAGATAATCATAGGTTTGATTAATTGGGGGAAGTCATTTTTATGTGCTGAAGTCAAACCTTATGGACAATATTCAGCCTTTGGATATCTGAGGTTCAGATAATTGAGAGTTGGCTGTTTTAGCAACTGTGAAAATGTCCCTAGGATCATTCATCCACTGCATATAGGCTTGGAAGGACTAGATTTTTATCAATAAATGTCAACTTCATCATATACATACACACACACACACACAATATTTCCATTGATATAAATTGAAATTTACAGATAGGCAAAACAAGAATAATGCTGCTTGAGAACTTATTGCAGTTTTATTTAATGCTGTTTAATTTGTAAATTTTGACATGTGATGTTGACAATTTGTGTTTTAATGATTATAAAGCTTTAGCTTCTTGAATCTCAGGGTTTCTACTTCTTGAAATGTTCAGGATATTGCAGATTTTTAGTACTCTCACCTGCATTCTGAAGGATATCAAAGAGTCCTAAATTTAAGTCAGGTTGGAGGTTGTATCATAGTGTTGCTTCTTGACACTGAAGAAATCTCAGAGCCACTGGTAATGATATTTGCAAACTCCTGGATGATGGGAGAGGTGTTGGAAGACTGGAGAAGGGTTCACAGTGCCCATTTTTTAAAAAGGGGAAAAAGGAGAAATTGGGGAACTATAGCTGAGTCAGCCTGACTGTGATACCTGGGAAGCTACTAGAGCAATGTATAATACATTCTATTTGCGAATACCTGGAGGATGAAGGGGTAAATCACTAGCAACCAGCATGGATTTACCAAGAACAAATCCTGCCAAACCAGCTTGATTGCCTTCTTTGACAGGGTAACTGGTTTGGTGGATAGGGGGAATGTGGTGGACATAATACACTTGGACTTCAGCAAAGCTTTTGACACAGTTCCACATGATATTCTCATAAGTAAGTTGGAGAAATTCAGGCTTGGCAGAACTACCATTAAGCAGATACATGATTGGTAAAACAATTGCAAACAAAGAGGAACTATTATTGGAATGAGAAAAGGAGGGCTTGTGGCACCTTAGAGACGAACAAATTTATTTGAGCATAAGCTTTTGTGAGCTACAGCTCACAAAAGCTTATGCTCAAATGAATTTGTTCGTGAGCTACAGCTCACGAAAGCTTACGCTCAAATGAATTTGTTCATCTCTAAGGTGCCACAAGTACTCCTTTTCTTTTTGTGGATACAGACTAACATGGCTGCTACTCTGAAACCTGTTATTACTGGAATGATGTCAGATTGGAGGGAGGTCTCAAGTGGTTTCCCTAGAGATCTGTTCTGGGTTTGGTATTGCTTAACATCTTTATTAATGACCTGGATATAGGAATAGAGAGCATACTGATCAAATTTTCAGATGACACAAAGCTAAGGGGGGAGGATGCCAAGACTTTTGAGGATAGAGCCAAAATTCAGAGGGATCTTGATAATTTGGAGAACTGGGCTATTGGCAACAAAATGAAATTCCACAAAGACAAATGTAAGGGAAGAAAAACCAAATGCACAAATACAGAATGGGGGAAAACTGGCTTGGCAGCTGCACAGCTGAGAAGGATCTGGGAGTTCAGGTGGATCAAAACCTCAACATGAATTATCGATGCTGTTGCAAAAAAAGCAAATGTGATTTTAGGTTGCATTAACAGAGGCACAGCATGCATGTCACAGGAAGTGATAGTACCACTCTACTCGGCACTGGTTAGGCCTCAGCAGTACTGTGACCAATTCTGGTCATCAACCTACAGAAAGGATGTGGAGAAACTGGAAAGCAACAAAGGATGAAGGGGTAAATCACTAGCAACAAGCAACAAAGGATCCAGGAGGCAAGCAACAAAGATGATCAAAGGGATGGAATGCAAGCCATATGAGCAAAGTCTGAAGGAACTGGCTATGTTTAGTTTGGAAAAGAGGAGATTAAGGGGGAAACATGATAGTTTAGAAATACTGGCGAAATACTTGAAAGGCTGCCATACAAAAGATGAAGAAAAGTTGTTCTCTCCTGCCACAGAAGGCAGGACAAGAGGTAATCAGTTCAAACAGCATAGCAGGTTTAGATTAAGTCTCAGGAAAGACATCCTAACTGTAAGAACAGTAGGACAATGGAACAGACAGCCTAGGGAAGTTGTGGAAGCTCCTTCACTGGAGGTTATCAAAAGGAGGCCAGATAGCCATCTGTCTTGGACGGTTTAGACACAACAAATCCTGCATTTTGGTATGGCATTAGATTAGATGACCCTTGCAGTCCCTTCTAACTCTATGATTCTATGACAAAATAGCATATTGTCA